GGAGGCTTTGCCATTTACTGCGCTCTCGGGCTGAGAGACCAGGCAGGGGCGCGCGGGAGGCAAAGGCAGCCGTAAAAGTTTCGCAGTTAATCGCCTGGCCTGATGCTTAGGTCGCCCCCACCAAACTGCTTCTGCGAAGACTCCTTCATCTTCCCCAAGATATTTAAAACCCCCAAGGCAAACAGAGAACACCTCCTACCCCACCTCTACACGCACAGACACGCGCGGGCGCAGCGCGTTAAACTCAGGAGGGGAGGAGGGAAAAAAAAGAGTTGCTGGGGAAACAGCCCGGAAAAGCCCAGCTTGTAAGATGCGAATGAATGAATAGGAAGGAACAATAAAGAGCGGGCGGCCCCGCGGAGGGCCGGAGCGCGCGGGAGTGGGGGGGAGTCCCTCCCCGGCCGCTGCAGCAGCATCTCCTCCCCTCCGGCCCCGTCCCGCCCTCCCCGGCCGCTGCGGACTGCCCGCGTCACCGCCGCCGCCGGCCGGACCTCGCGGCTACCCCGAGGCCCGCGAGCCCCGGCCACCGCCTCAGTGATCCTGGACCCCAGGCCCGCCCCCCGCTCCCGAGCGCGGCCTGGGGCTCGGGTTGGGGACGATGGCGGTGATTATTCGGGGGTAGGGAGGACTCAGGAGGCAGACAGCGGGGAGGAGAGGTGTCGCGAAGCCTGGGATCACCTCCGAAGGCCGAGGAGAGAGGAGAGGGCCGTGAGAGGGGACGAGAGAGGGTTCGCGCCGGGCCGCGGCCGCAGCCGGGCTCCCGGCCTGGCCTCCACCTCGCGGCACCTGCTGCTGCGGCGCGGGGCCGCCCACGTGGGGGCGTGCGTGCGGGTGGCGGTGCCCGCGCGCTGCCCGCCTTCCCCTGGCACCCGGCCGCGAAGGGTGGAGGGCTCCTGCCCGTCATGTGACAAGAGGGACACTGACGCGACCCCCAAGGCCGGGGTGGGGGATCCCCGAGTCCAGACACAACCTCCAAGACTCCTTCCACTGAGCTTTCGGTTCCTGGACTCCAGGTAGCTGCAAGTCCTCGACGTGGGTAAAAGTGACCAGGTAGAAGGGAGAGAGAGAGAGAGAGAGAGAGAGAGTGAGAGTGTGTGTGTGTGTGTGTGTGTGTGTGTGTGTGTGTCTTTCCATCCATTTAATGAACGGCGGGTAGATGGGGCAGGACGGAAGGAAGAGCTAGAGGGACAGACAGACAGAGACTGCGCACCGGCAGAGAACCAACTCCACCCGAACTGGGAGCCCGAGAGAGGAGCTAAGAGCTCAAGGAAAGATCAAGGGATGAGTGGATGGATGGAAAGCCAGGAGGAGCACCCCAGGAAACCGGTGTGTATCGGGCCGCGTTTGTACTTGTAAAAGGGTCGAGAGGAGAAGTAGGCAGAAAGTCCCGCGGGAGTCGTGGGACCCACGAGTGATTCTTGTGCCGGCGGGGTTGGGGGTGGATGGGAGTGGAGTCGAGGAAGAAATGCCCCAACTGCAAAGAAGCACGAGGGACCAGAGGGTGGTTAGCAGACCTTTAGAGTGGCTAGTAGATGTGTGAATAGATGACAAAGATGCAGGTCCCCAAAGGGGGAGGAAGGGTCCTTGAAAAATGGTCAACACCAAATGTTGATAGTGGGACGTTGAAACTTTTAAAACTAGATGGTAATTATGTTTTACATCCAGAAAAAAATATGTCTTCTTTAGGAAAATGATAAAACCATTCAACAGTAACAACGTTAAAAAGTATCTTAAGGGAAACTACTACATTTCTCAGTTGCCATTTGAAGATAAGAGAATACAAACTTGGACTTTGCTAAATCTACCCACTCAAGTATGTCTAACATGTTTCCTCCTCTTTGCCCAGGTCAGTTTCCCAGCATGCAGATTGTGTTACTGGGCCAAGGAAGTGGCCACCTAAATTTTGCTGCAAAAGTCGTTCTTATAGGAAATGCAGGAAGGAAATCCCAGAAGAAAAAAAAGGGTGATACAAACTTTTTATTCATTTCTTCACTGCTCCACCATAACCTAGTGGCTCCATATGTCTGTGTTGGAATTCAAATTCTCAGACGTAGGGGCCTCTTTGATTTATGAACCCCAGTGCTCTCCTGGGCAATATCTGGGGCTGAGAGGTGGCATTTCTGCTCAGACCTCAGTGCTGAGGGCAGGAGTGTGCATGTCCTGGACCAGGTCCTCCGCTCACTCACCCAGACACTGAGGCTGATGGATGATGTGGCTTTGCACTTTTGCCCTAATTCTCCTGGGCTGTGGCTGCAACTTTTCCTTGAAAATTCTATTCATTTTCCTACACAGGCATGCAGAAATACTTTAAACTACCCACCACATTCTGCTTTCTTGGCAAATTGCCTTCTCACTTTTGAGTTCAGAACCGCCACTTGCTGAGTAAAGCTACCTCCCTAATGGGAACCCACAAGATTTTTCTTTCTGAGAAAAACCAACATATGGGAAAAGTTCAGCTTCTCCAAGGAAGGTTATGCATACATATGGTCAGATTTCAAGACATGATTGTTTTGAAAGGGAGTGGTTATAAACTGATAGCTTTTGTAAGTTCAATGTGCTGTCCCGGAAGAGGGTGCCTGTCACAGTTCTTCAAAATTAGCATCAAAGTAGATACTACTTGCAGAAGATAATGCAGAATGCAAACCCCTGGAACCCAATTAAAGTAACATTGGTTTCCACGGGGTGCCTGGGTGGCTCAGTTGGTTAAGCATCTGCCTTGGGCTCAGGCCCTGATCCCAGGGTTCTGGGATTGAGCCCCACCTCGGGCTCCCTGCTCAGTGGAAAGCCTGCTTTTCCCTCTCTCTTTGCTGCTCCCCCTGCTTGTGCCTTCTTCCTCTCTCTCTCTGTCAAATAAGTGAATAAAATATTTAAAAAAAGATAACATTAGTTTCCTTACATCGTACCTTATAATGATGAATGGTAAGAAAGGTTCCCAAAACCCTTAAAAGAATTGGTGTAGCTAGGACACTTGCTCTTCTGATTCAAAAGCAAGTAGTATATTTCTGCATGCTCATAGCTCTGTATAAAAAATTATAAAGCTCCAGATCCCCTAGGACTCTTTCATTAATTCATCTGCAGGATTGGCATCCTCAAAGTTGTTTTTCTGTTGCTGTAACAGGTGCTGTTACAAAAGCAACAAATAAAATAGTGCTTCTGATACTCTATGTTAAATAAATTTATTTTAAATAATTGTTTTAATTTACTTACATAGTTACATAAAGTTGTTTTTCCATTTTATTAACTCACCAATCTACACATCATGGTATTAGTTTATCCAAAACATTTATTAATAAATAATTTGCTGCCAAATATCGGAACGTCTTTAAAAATTATCTGCAATTCTCATAACGTGAAACTGGTTTGAACCAACATGGGAAGCCGTTTCCCTTCAACAACCTGTAAATATATCATGACAGAGTAGAAAATCTTCATAACACAGAGGATAGTTAAAATCATTGAAATCTTACATTTAAACCAGGCAGGATACCTTTTGAACGTGACTAGAGAAATAAAACATGGTGTTCTTAGAAGTATGAATACATGGTATTGTTAGATATCACAGGAATATTAGCCTCTTGTGGGCAAGAATTATTAGAGCACTACATTATTCAACCAGTTTTCATCAGTACTTACAGACATGTGGTCATTGTCCACGATGTTTCATATCCAATGATAATTGTGCTCCAGGAACAATGTATTATTATCTCTGTTTGGGGAAATGTGAGGTGAATAAAAATAACTCCAGGATCCACCGGTCTATGAGGCAATTTAGAAAAACTTTACTGTACTTCTGATTGATATTTATTTGACAGTGGCTTATAAAGATAACATCAGGATTTTTTTTTAATAGTCACCAGCCTATTTAATAACTAGTCTTCTGTAAATCAGCATAAACAAAAGGAACATCTATAAGATACATCCTGACATAGGAAGGTGCACTGATCTCTCTAAAGGATCCACCTCTGTACTGACTTAGGGCACAGCATCTACTCACTGTGATTTTGGGGAGAAAACAATCACTAGTTGAAAAAGGAATTTACCACATTTGGTAAGTATAA